TTCCTTCTTGGATAAAGATTGTAAGTTAATGTGGTACTAAACAATCAGTCTCACTCTCCTATAATATTAAACATCACAAGTTGTATGAGACGTCAGTGAAGAGCCGTAACATTTGTGTTACTGCAGTACGGTCATTTATCGTAGAGTCGTCTAGCTTAGCTTAAGGATTGAACCCTAATTGCATAATGTTATTAACGTAGGGACGTGGTGATAGGAAGTAAGAGTATAAACAACGTGTCGTAGTAATCGGTCATTGAGCTGTTAAACGTAGATCGCGAGGGTAACGGTGTTTGTAAGATTTTTGATTGCAATCTCGGTGTGCAGGGTGAACGTGGTCAAACAGTTCCTGTGTAATGCCCGTAATGCCAATGATTCATTCAATCATTGGTTGGATACGTGTACCCTGTACCACTGGCAGCAAGATCAAGCCCGCACGTACAGCACACACGCGGCGCCATTGACTATATATACAACATGGTGTCGAACTCGCCGGCAGTCGCCGCCGCAGTTTCCACAACTCACCGTTTTAAATCAGTTACAACTCCGGTGTTCCTGCAGGTGACGCCACTTTCCAACTATAGTTGGAATCGCGGAACATTGCTTAACAATATACACCCGCCAATTTTGACAATCGGCCCGCCAGAATGCGCTTAAATCACAGAAATTCCTCAAATATACATGCTAAATGATCCTTAGCCTGCTACGCGTGAAGAAGGCGGCTGGCTGAACCGTTAACCATGACTCGCCCGCGATGTCAACAAGCGTAGTTTCGCAGCCTGTCTGCGCATTAAACTTGCTGCAGCCAATCAGCGCAGCCGCCAACGGTTCAGCCAGCCGCCTTCTTCACGCGTAGCAGGCTAAGGATCATTTAGCATGTATATTTGAGGAATTTCTGTGATTTAAGCGCATTCTGGTGGGCCGATTGTCAAAATTGGCGGGTGTATATTGTTAAGCAATGTTCCGCGATTCCAACTATAGTTGGAAAGTGGCGTCACCTGCAGGAACACCGGAGTTGTAACTGATTTAAAACGGTGAGTTGTGGAAACTGCGGCGGCGACTGCCGGCGAGTTCGACACCATGTTGTATATATAGTCAATGGCGCCGCGTGTGTGCTGAACGTGCGGGCTTGATCTTGCTGCCAGTGCCCTGTACTGTAGGCTGTACTAAGTAACTAATAGTAATACTGTATTGTGTTATTAAACTTAAAGCCACAATATGCGCATCTACACGCTAATTTCTCCAGTACTAGAGTTCGTGTCATGCATAATCATACTACCTTATGACAAAATAAACTAGTTCCTCGGATTTCACTGCGCATTGTCTTATAAAAGGTATTTGAAAATACCTCCAATGTTGTTCAAATTCTCCGATGTTGTTGACACTTTCGCGTTGCTCTGCCCAGCAACCGTACAGCGGGTGTAGCAAAGATTTCGGTTCAAGGATAGAGAACATGGGTCCCAATATAACCAATGTCATTTACATCAATATAAATATAATATTATATCAATATAATAGGTTGGGTTAATGTTAGGGTTAGGGTTAGGGTTAGGTTTAGGCACATTGGTTTTATTGGGACCCATGTTCTCTATCCTTGGGCCAAGATTTCTATGGCCCGTGTGCGTTTTTCGCTCGCACGCTACTAGCGCAATGACATGTTATCGTTCGCGATATCAAGCCTAAAATCAATACGTTATTCTCAGAGTGTATTACGCTGCCTATTTTTATTTTCCCAATAGCCATTGATGTTACATACACTGCAGTTCACAATACTACAACTAACTTAAAGTGTAAATGACTATATTCACAGGCACTTGAAGCGTTTCAATAAAATATATACGCAGGGGTCGTGTGCTGTGCACGGCGACAGTTAAATACATAGCAGGTAAGAAAGCGTGCGCCAGAAATTCGCTCGACGCTCGCTGCATTTCACATGATTACAACACAAATACTCAAACTTCCGACTCCATCTGTGCTGCTAATTGAAGAACAGTGTTCACTTGTTGTAGAAATATTATGTCTCAGTTCGAAACGGAGCTGTTTCACGCAAAATCACGAATGAAATCATGAAATTGTCGCAATCGCTAGCACTACGCACTTGATGTAACGGACTTGAGTACATGGCTAAAGGCGGCGCACTGCATTTTGGGAAACAACAACGCTGCTATCCGCCTCCCATGTGAGCCCCGTCAAAGCCGCCAGTGAGGCGTTGCTATAGATACCATAGACGGCTCCAACTTTCGTTACCTCTGCACGTTTTCAAGACAGTTATAACTTATATCGGCCGGTAGTGGTCTCCAGATTCCGAAATTCGTTACATCAAGTGCGCAGTGCTAGCGATCGCGAGAATTTCATGATTTCATTCGTGATTTTGCGTGACACAGCTCTGTTTCGAACTGAGACAATATTTCTACAACAAGTGAACACTGTTCTTCAATTAGCAGCACAGATGGAGTCGGAAGTTTGAGTATTTGTGTTGTAATCATGTGAAATGCAGCGAGCGTCGAGCGAATTTCTGGCGCACGCTTTCTTACCTGCTATGTATTTAACTGTCGCCGTGCACAGCACACGACCCCTGCATATATATTTTATTGAAACGCTTCAAGTGCCTGTGACTATATTCTCTGCTCAACACCCATAGCAACGTGATGTCACCTAACCGATTCGGGGCAAAATTGCTTGGCAAACAATTCGGCATTGGCGCCAGATCACCAGATTTCGCACCTCTTTCTTGTGGGTTTTAAACAAACGCGCAGTGAAAGGGGGGGGGGAACTAGAGTTTATTTTGTCATAAGGTAGTATGATTATGCATGACACGAAGTATTTGCTAGTCTAGTACTGAAGAAATTAGCGTGTAGATGCGCATATTGTGGCTTTAATATTAGTATATTACTATTAGTATTACTATTAGTAATACTTGTGTCGTGAAGTTGTACAGCCTCGGTAACTCTATTTATGGTTGTTTTAGATTTGGTTTGAGTGTTACATCATGTACATAACCTACCTAGTATTACTATTAGTAGTACTAGTACTACTAGTAGTAAAATACAATACTTGTCGACCTTCGGCGAACCCAATTTCTCGCAGAAGTGGCAGAGCTTTCGTGATAGAATAAATTGCAATAACTTTGCTCCATTGCATAATTTGAATATATTTCTGCCGTCGTGGCATAGACATGGTTTTCGGGATGTTATGTACACGCAAACAAGAAACTTGTTTATGGGTGTAAAGCTGTTGCTTAAAAATTCGAAGTTAACACGTTTTTTACGCCACTATTTTACTCTACCATTAAAAGCCATGCCACTTAGCAGGAATCGTGGCGTAGGTGGAATTTGGTGGTTGCATAGTCTTAGATAGGTTGGGTAACACTAAACCCCTGGTTTTTAATGAATGTTGATCAAATGGTTGTTTTCTTGATTGCAGGGCATAAGTTATCAGCATGGGTGCAATCACCCCACTTCTGAAGCCGAGGATAAAGAAGAAGCGAGTGAAGAGGTTCATTCGCCACCAGTCGGACAGATATGTTAAAGTGAAGGTACTAAAAATTATACCGTTATTCACCACTTTCATGACACCTACCGTTATTGCTTGAGTAACAATGAAATGTCTTGGAACCTTCATATTCACCGAAAACTGCCAGTTTTCAAACTAATCGTTTTTGTAAACATTCGTTTTCTGTCATCTTGAACTAACAGTAAGTATGGATTAGCTTGTGGCACCACCGCTTATTTGCCATAGACATAGTACAGGCATGCACTTGTTTTCAATTCATCACCGGCACAAATACAAGTTTACCATTGGGCGTTATCGGCATACGATGAAATTTATTGCTGTTTCGATGTGGTCAAATCTATTTTCTATGCTATAACTGCATAAAATCTTAGTATTTTTAATGTTGGTGTAATCGGTGATATTTCCACTGTCGGGTGAGACTACCATATTCAGCTATATTTGGTTTTTCTAAGCAAAAATCTCACAATAGATAGTTTAATTTATGAACTTAAAATTCATATGGTTAGGTGAAAGGTAACGTGTTCGCCATGGCTGTTAGTAGTGTGTATTTTAAATCATTTCATGGCTAGAATGGGTTTAACGGTTATGCCAGCGACACAAACCTTTTTGACCTATGATATGGCGGCACCCCAGTGTGTGTCCTCCGGTAACATTCTACAGTATTTTACTTCTTTTATTGTAGAAAAATTGGAGGAAGCCAAAGGGTATTGATAACAGAGTTCGCAGGAGGTTCAAGGGACAGTACCTCATGCCCAGCATTGGTTATGGAAGTGCTAAGAAGACGAAACACATGCTGCCAGACGGCTTCAGAAAGTTCCTAGTACACAACATCAAGGTATGTAGTAGGCAGTGTTGTTACAGTGTATTCCCACTCTTGGGGAAAAATGTTAGGGAAGAATTGCATATTTGGGGGGGGGCGAATACGTAATGATTATGCCGGTTTTGTTTATACACGTTTTTGCTTAGACCACAATTAAAAAAAAATTTGTTTGCCCTCACCTGACCCAGGCTGAAAAGTTTGGGTAGGTAGGTTGGCTTTTTTTGAGGGCGGGGTCTTTTTACAAATTCAGCATGGTGTCTACATGCTCGGGTGTGCTTGTGTGGAGATAACTTTTATGTTGAATGTTTGTTTTGTTTGGTACATATAATCAGAAGTAGATGATAGGGAAGGAGTGTGACTTCAATAAACAAGGGAAATTCGTCATTTACTACCATTGGAATACCTCTGATTTACTACGCGTAACTCAACCAACTTGAGCTCAAATCGTACACCGTACATTCGCCTAGCATCGTGCGAAATCGTTTCCTCGTATACACCCGCAATCCGGAGATACCGACTAAAACGTACGACACGATTCTCCATTCTGTTTCCAGCAAACCGAATGTATAACCCGCCTAACTTGAAACAATAGGCAGCTACTAACGACTCTTGCGGACTCTTGTGCCCTCGGCGATGCGGTGTGGCTCGCTGGGAGATTGGAGCTGGAGCTGCTGCTGATTGCGGTAGGTGTGCATGCGTGGTGGCCATACCAGCTGTACATAGGTCAAAGATTAGCTCGCCGAGTGTTGCGTCGATGTCCAATCTCCCAGCGAGCCACACCGCATCGCCGAGGGCACAAGAGTGCGCAAGAGTTGTTAGTAGCTGCCTATTGTTTCAAGTTAGGCGGGTTATACATTCGGTTTGCTGGCAACAGAATGGAGAATCGTGTCGTACGTTTTAGTCGGTATCTCCGGATTGCGGGTGTATACGAGGAAACTATTTCGCACGATGCTAGGCGAATGTACTGTGTACGATTTGAGCTCAAGTTGGTTGAGTTACGCGTAGTAAATCGTAGGTATTCTAAGGCTAGTAAATGACGAATTTCCCTTGTCGCACTCCTTCCATATTATCTACTTCTGATATAATGTATTGCCTACAGATTTATATAATGTACAGTGATGCAATTTGTAAAAAGAAAAGAAAAAGAACATTTTTTGAGTCTATGTAGAACTGCATGGTGGTGGATCTGTATATATATTTTCTTGGTTTATATTATTGGAATGTGAAGACCCCCGTCAACTGTCCAGCGTATACAGAGTTGGAACATTATCGTATGTTGCAGGAACTGGAAGTACTCATGATGCAGAACCGCCGGTTCTGTGCTGAGATTTCGCATTCCGTGTCAGCGAGAAAGCGCAAGGCAATCGTTGAGAGGGCCGCTCAGCTGGCTATCAAAGTAACGAACCCCAATGCACGATTAAGGTCGGAGGAGAACGAGTAATTTCCTGTGTTTTCTGTAAAGTAAAATAAAGACGTCAATATGTATGTAAATTGTTTTGTGTTTCTTTGCATTTTGCATATAAATTATGTAAAGGTTGCAAGGGTCTTGTGCTTCTAAACCTTCAAAAGCTCCTCAATCACTCTGTCTATACTGAGGTGTATGTAAACGTGTGAGGTTTACCAATACCTTCTTTATACTCGGAGGAGCTTGGGTAGAATAAATAATATTAATATATTTCTTTGGGAACAATAACACTGCATTAATAAATTATCACTTCTCGGTATATTTACAAAACTCTTTGTACAATAAATCTTTCAACACAATCAATATAAAAATATCACTTCAAATCAATAATGGAAAAGTGGTTCCACATACGGATGTGGGGTAAAGCAGAAGTGCACACAATATGATTGCACACAGTGTGAACCATTTCATATCATCGGAAGCAATATCAATTCTTGTAATTTGATTCGTAAAGCCCTGCTCAGGTCGCCCTACGATTTGATTATCTGCGACTACTTTATCGCCAATTAACAGCGGAGCAACACACGTCGACTTGAAGTGACTTCACGCTGTACATCGCAAATCAGATCGTAGCTTTCTGCAGGAAACGTAGACAGGTTCGCGGCCCCAGTATTTGTACTAGCACAAACAGAGCAAGCTTGATGCCGGGACCAGTCTACATAAAACGAGTCGCATGACCAACGAAACGGCGCTTAATAGTAAAACATCAGGTAACTTTGTAAAAATCTATCCTCAATTTTATGAAAATCGTTATAATCATGTGCAGAAAAAGAATTTAAAAAATTGCCTGTGATATACGGAAAACTTAATATATATTTGAGAAAGGGTTTGTGCAATAATCCCTCCTTGTAAACTGCTGTGTAGGCTGCCATTTTGTTAATCATGTGACTCGACACGTAGCGGTGATTGGCTGCCACTCACGATTTGTCGCCAAACGCCACATAGATAGAACTGTTTCTATTTCTGCGATCGCAGTCGGCGACCGTATTTTCAAACGCAAGAGAACTCATGTCGAGTTTAGTCGCCGATGTTTTTATCGGCGATCTGGCCGGTTTTTGACGTACGATCTTCAAATTTTGTCGGCGACTAGGTCGTAAGGGCGACCTGAGTTAGCCTCAAGATCTAACAGAAAATGCTAGTTGAAAATTGCCATCCAAAGTGTTACGTTCATTAGATTTGACAGTGTCTATAGTATAACACATTTTCACATTACGTGGAGTAGGACTGGAGCAGCTGCTATAGGCCCGATCAACCACAGAAGCTGTGATGTTGCAATGCTACTCCATGACGCAATACACCATCAATGAAATGAGTTGCAGGAAACCTACAGTACTCGTGTGTATCTCAATGCACTACTTTCTAAAACAGGCCAGGTCACAGACGCCACAACATTATCTCTTACTAGATGCCCACTACAGACGACAAAACTAGAAAAAGTCGTAACGTACAGGTTCCCTCTACAATGGTTGCTGTTCCTACCTCCACCAGAGAAGCACACAGTTATTTCATTTTGTTACTGTGTGGAAAACTGGAAAGCTTCAGCTGCACAACCATCAACTGTTTCACAGCGAGGACTACATATTTTTACTGGGTGGTTACGTTATCAGGGGTGTCATAATATAGTGCATATAATGACAATGCTGTTACTATTAAATCAAATGACAATAAAATAAAACATGATGCCAAGACTGCAAGATTAGTTTCTGGATACTGATAATGCGATACTGTTAATGAAAATATATACACCTGCATTATCATTGTGGTGACCAGCCTTTTGCTATTATACAAGTTGGGCAGGGTAATAAAAGTTACATTCTTGCACTTCCACAATGTATTTCTATGCTGCCTTAAATCATAATACTACCCATACTCAAAATCAACTATTAAATTATGCAAGTCAACAATGAAACCTGCTTTTAAAATTTATAAGATAATCACGTATACGAAACGAGACGTTTTGGTGTCACGTGTGCTACTTACTATGTGTTACTATAGCTGATAGGGTCTATGTCTCCCTGGGTACTGCCGGAACGTACCCTGGGTACGGTCCGGTATACCGGAACGTACCCTTGTAACTATCTGATATGGTTAGGGAGTAGCCGCGTAGGCGACTCCCTAGACTCGTTAGTGGAGTAGACGAGGTACGGTCCGGCATATTAGATAGTACCATGGTACGTTCCGATATATCGAACCGTACCCAGGGTACCCTCCGATAGTACCCTGGGGAACATAGACCCTGTTATGGTAATTGTAGCCCATTTCCTCACAGTCAGGTGTTACAAGCGTTAACTCGTGCCAAGTCGAAAACGTTTCCGTGCTATAAACTTTCACCACAAATACACACGTTCACCACTAGTAAGGTTACTGCAACCTTCGTAAAAACTGCCAAGTTCATAATTAATAACAGAAGGTGACAATCCTAGAATTATCCCGGATAATTCATGCAAGGACTGCATAAAGTACCGACCACATACAACACTGACGTAGAAAACAAAATCCAGTCACCTTTAAACATGCATTCTTCAAGTATTGCAAAGTAAGGTGGCTATTGCAGGAGTGCTATTATTCCAGGGGTGGTGCCAGAGGATGGCTATCCCATTGGGGGGAAAATCAGTGCCTTGTCGGGTCACCTATGAGAGAAATATTTCGGTCACACTTCATCTCTAGTGCTGCGCTAGTCGCAGTAACTTGTGAGAACAATCAGCAGGAGGAATGACCGATTTATCCTTTACAGCTAGACAATCACGAGCACACATATCTTGACGAGCAAACACTTATAAAAACTGAAGACCACATCAGTTTCAGTCTAATTAAATAACGTCGCACACACATTTGCAACAATGTGCTACCCCATTAATAATCAGGTATGCTTGCTTGATTCAACAGGCCCAATACGGATGCCCCTGTCGCATTCCTGACCCAAGCTAGAAGTGCGTGAAAATGCACCTGCTGTTGTATCACATGCCAAATGCATCTGATTATCACAGCTAAAAAGAACGCAGTTGAGACGAGCCTCTCTTGCTGATTAGAGCCGAAAGGATGTTCGCGTGTTTCTGTTATTGATCGACCAGGGTTTGACGTACGAGATATATGAAACTACCTATATGCCATGTGCTATGTCCAACCTTTGCATGTGCAACGTACGCTGGGTGCATCGAGGCCACACGATTTTTAATTACTGTAGTTTTTTGTGGAGAAAATTCTTCCAAGTGTAGTTGGGTGTTGTCGATTATCAATAGCAGTGGTTATCACTAGGATAGACAGAACAACATGCTGGTGACACGTGTAACCTTAGCGTAACCCCATCAAGGGCAATCTCTGGTGCCACCCCTACACTCCGCTCTGCCCCTAAGAATTTTTCATCCAACAAAATAATTAACTCGCGCACCTTTTGGATGTTCGATTCCGGAGCTCTTGTAGAACACCTTCCGGAGAACTAACGACAAACACCTGCGACTCGTTAACACCTGCGACTCGTTAACGCCTGCGACTCGTTAACGCGTGCGACTCGTTAACGCCTGCGACTCGTTCACGCGCGCTAACTGTAAAACCGCTGCCTATTGTAACCGTCCCTGCTGCCGCAGTACTCGTTATAAATCAGCTTGACTAGGAACAGGTGGAAGACGATGATGAGGATCGCTATGGACATCCAGAATAGCGTCGGCAGGCCGCTCAGGTGGCTGCCGTGCTTGTGCAGGGCGATGACGTGGTGTTCGTGCGCGGGAGCCTCTGCGATCTCGCGCACGTGGATCGTGTGCTTGAGGTCGTCTACGTGCTGCCGTCGGCGTGATGTAGAGGATCGCCGTCACCGGCTCCGTCAGCTTCACGGGAAACTGCTTTCGCATCCGAGCTGCAGTCGCACGACGATAGTACTACTATTATTTTAAATTATTATAAATTTATTAAATTATTTAAACATATTAAATATTATTAATTGTAATTTTTTTTAACTCGTTTACCTATTATTTTACATTATTAAATTATTATGATTATTTAATTAGTTTCTTATTTTAAAGACGCGCGCTCACGGCGCGTGACGAGAACAATGCGCGCTCTCTGGCGGTTGCATACGCAAGGTGATATTTGGAATTTTCTTATATAACATGGATGCAATAATAGACCCAGTGTGTAAGTAGTGCCAGTTCCTGCACTTATTTTAGGCAGAACTAATGCCAGAAAATAAGATAAATATCGTATATGCGATCACATTTATCATTGCAAATTGTATCACAGCTTATCTCTAATATACGTAAAGTAAAACTGAACTTATCTAGTGTGGAATGTTGAGGATGTACTAAGCCGATGTTAATTGCATATAAATGGCAGAAACCCCAAGGAAAATGTAATCAACAATTTCTCGTCTGTACCTCAGTTCTACAGGCGTATCGATACATCCGGCATCACAGGCCCAGTATGTTTTATCCTTGCGATCCAGAGCAACAAGTAGTATAGCCTTATTGTCCTCCTCTCTGACTTGTACTGCAAGCACCCAAACCAAAATATAGCTTGTAAAATGCAGTTACAGTCAGCAAAGAATTATATTATACAAGCTGTGGGGTTTAAATCAGTGCGAGTGAGAAATCACTGTGAACATCAACATCTTGTTTATAACAATGTACAATGATGAACAGAACTGTTCTAATGCAAAATCGCAGATAATAATCATAACAAAAGGCGCTACCTGTTATGTTGATATGGGTTCCATTGCCATACAGAATTCGTCTAAAATGGTAGTTGCGATGCAAGTCTCTTGGGTGCGTCCAGAAACTCAAGTGATGATTGGTGTATTTGAGGCCTCCATAACTCAACACCATGGCCTGGATAACACCATCTGCACCTGAAAGATACAAACTTGCCCAATGATAACATTGCACACACGTAGTGTAGAGCACATGGCTGTCCCAATTAGGCAAAAATAGGTGAAAAAAAGTGTCAGTTGTTGTGGCTGTGGAACTCTTTTCGCTGGTGTTTCATATGCCTAACAATTTAGGTTTGGTATGCTATCCAAGTAATTTTCCGCAATGGGAAAAAGAGAAAATTCAGATACTTTTGATATCAACTCACGGATAATGTAATTGTGTTATTTGTTTGAATAATATTGTATATCAGTAATACTCCTGCATGTGAACACTGTTGAACTATAGATTGGCGAGGTGAGTATTTAAAATGTTTGTGGTTGTTGTTATGAAACCTTACCTGCCTGCAGCAACTGGTGGCAACCTTGTTTGTCCAGAGTCAAGAACCAGACAGACGAAAGCCGTGCTATATCAGCTTCATCTGTCAAACTTCCCCACAGTTTCAGGTCTGAAGTGTGCCTTAAACAAATCAGTCACTTTAGCATCAAGATATTCATAGTTTTGTACCTATCCCATCCTTAGATTTTTATCCTAAAGTATAAATCATGGCAACGTTATATAATAATGGTTAACGCTCGATGCCAACGTGCTCACAGCGTGTGATGTCCATCATAGCAGCGATCAGGTCCAACCAGCAACATCTCCAGTCTCTGTTTCTCCTGCGCTGACGTCTGTCGTTCGTGCAGCGGCGCTCTACTGTTGCTCATCGCATAGTACATAGTCGCGTTGATTCGGTCGCCGTTCAGGGAGTTCGGCGCCATCGAACAGCTGATGCTGAATCCCGACTGCCACAGCTTCAAGAAAAATAAGAAGGCAAGAGGACTTACACATGTACAGATGTACAGATTTATCACATGGTAGCTACTATAATAGCTGCTTTACAGTACATATTTGTACACATACTGAAAATTATCACACAGAGCAACTTTGAGCTGATTAAATGAACTTAATATGCTGTACAGATGTCACACAAATCGAGTATACGTGTTATCTCTTATCACATGTTTAGAAAACTGCATGTAACCTGTTGTTATCTCTGTCTCTGGTGTATCGTTATGGTTCCCCCATCCCTGATTTGTCTTCTTCGCTCTATCTACATGTGTGTGCCTCTCTTTCACACAGACCTTCTCTTCATCTATTGGTACCTGCTTCGCTTTCACCCAAGTCTCTCTCTCCTTTTTCTTCTCCCTGCCTGGTACTGTTTCACGCAGACCTCTCACATCTCTGCCTTCTCCTCTCTATATAACTGCAGCTGTGGCTCATTCACCCAGCCCCCGTTTCGCTTTGCCTACTTCATTCAATCTATCTGTCCCTGCCTCTCATTCACTCAGTTAGTTACCTACAGCAATGGCAGCAGAAAACCGCCACTCTTCGTTCCACTATCTATCTGTGTCTGTGGCTCATTCACCCAGCCCCCCCTTTCGGATTTGCCTTCTCCTCTCAATCTATCTCACCCTGCCTCCCAGCTACGGCACAGCAGGAAACCACCGTTTTTTCTTCTTCTTCCTATCATGCTGTGTCTGTGGCTCATTCACCCAGCCCCCTTTCTGATTTGCCTACTTCTCTCAATCTATCTGTCCCTGCCTCTCTTTCACTCCGTTACCCACAGCAATGACAGCAGCAAACCCTCTCAACAATGCATTCGGGACCATATGAATGGGGTGCCCGCTTCCTCCGCGCGCGCGCACGTACCGTGCTCCACACTTTAACGTGTTCGTCGCGCAGCAGCTGCGCGGTCATCGTCTGTACGGCGTTCATCTCATCCCGCACTGCCTTCTCCATCTGCTGCTGCTGCACCTCTCCGTCCTGGCTCAGGTACGGCGCGTACTCAACCACGTGCGTGAATTTAAATCGTACGGTACTGCAAACAGAACAACGAAAAATGTACAAATTATATATATACATATATATATATATATATATTACAGGAAAGCGCTTGTGTAAAACTAAATGTCGGATTATTCATTTTTTTTAACTATATAACAACTGAATATCGTGCAACCTAAGAACTTTTCTACTATACAGTGGCTGACCCAAGGGGGGGGGGCAAGAGGCACGCACCCCCCTATTTATTGCCCCCTCCCTATTCGGCACATGAAGCATGTACACCGGCGCTATCACAAAATCCGCAACCCCTAAAATGAAATCCTGGCTACTCGGTTGTGCCCCCCCCCCATCTCAAAATCCTGGATCCGCCACTGCTATATATATATATATATATATCAGGGAAAAATAAAATTTATTTTACGGGGGCTACTTTTCAAGCTCGCGTGCATGAAAATAGCACTCTAAAATTTGGTTTGCATTGAACTCCGGGGGCTCTTTTTGGCATTTCCAGGGCTCTTTTTAGCATTTCGGGGGCTAAATCGTCCCGAGCCCCTGTGTATTTTTTTCACTGATATATATATGCATATGCATACTAACATAATAAAAAGTGTAGTATGAAATGTAGTGTGATTTTTCAATTCAAAACGTGATAATAAAATATCGACATTGATCGTAACACACGACTTTTTCTATAAATACATACTAGCAAAAAATCATATAACGCATACTGATTATATATACATATGAAGATATATATATATATATATATGAAAAGATTGTAATTTAAATTTAATGTAATCGGCAAATTTTAATCACGGTAATTTCACACCTCTTGGGTTCAATGCTGACAGTAGGGGATAGCCGACTACTAGCTATAACAACCATAAGCTCCTGTCCATCCTCACTCGTGGCACGCCCGGTTGTCACGTGGTAGCTACCACTGCCTCCACCATTAAACCTGAAAACACACAGCTAATATATACAGTACTACAGAACAATAGCTGCTTTACACTACGTATTTGTACACATACTGAAAATTATTATACAGAGCAACTTTGAGCTGATTAAATGAACTTCATATGATTACCAGCAGTCACGTATTATATTTATATTCGTCTTCTAAATTTCTAAAGCCATATTCTCAATTTCACACTGAATTTTCTGCACAACAAACGATGAGATATGCTTGACGATTATCACTAAGTACCTCTGCACTATAGTTGCTGCAGCCTTCCACTGTTCCGACCCCACCAAATGTGTGAGGGCGGTTAGAGTAGAGTCCATGGGGTTATACAGCTCGACTTCATGCACAAGAACAGACGGTCGTGTTCGATGCGCGTAAAATATGTGGTCAACTGTTACACACATAGACGACTACGGGAGAAGGAGCATAAGCACATTGTTAGTTATTTTGGGGGTTTTGGAGACATTTTGCACAATACTCAAGTTAACTTTTATAGGCGACACATTGCATCAGGAGGAAATAATCACAAATGTGTGATTATTTACCCCTAATTGTATAATAGCATATATTTTTAACATACTAACTAACATATTACATCTAAGATAACTAAATAAATGGTATGAAATAAAAACACTTGTTACATCACATCATGTACATTACATCATATACAGACATGTACGATTTTAAAAAGTATGAATCGATAGAGCAGCTAATAGCAAGACTATGCAGACAGCTAATGCTATGACACTGACATTCCTCCAACTTTACATACTTTACAAGTATTTTTTTTAAATTTAGTATTGGGCCCGCCTAGCCACATTACTGCATTAAAAATTATAATGATGCAGTTGAAACCTGTAAGATTATCTAAAAGAATTTATAAACTATATTAATTATAACATATATTTACCTGTGGTATTTTAATGCATTGATACCTGTACACCAATCCTGTTTTGTACTGTATTATATAGACTTCTGAAATAACAAAAACATATATTTCAACAAAAGAAATACATTGCTTATATGTATATAGATATAAAAAAGAGAATACCTACAGAAACAACTCCCCAAAAACAAACCACCATATTTTTCTGACTGACGCCAATGTTGCTCGTACGAACCTTTCTGCTCCCCTCCTTGCAGCGAGAATTCGGCAATAGGGTAGAACTCGACAGCAAGGGACAGCGCCCGTGCCCCCTTGATGTGCAAACGCTTGTTTCCCATCACGCCAATGCCCAACTTCCCATTGCCTGCAGCAAGAGGTAGCCTCAGTTTATTGACAAACATATCAGGGGTTAATAATGACAAAATTAATATTAATTAAATTAATATCAATATTGTCATTTTTTTAAAACCCCTGATACAAATTTATATGCATAACTAATAAAACACGCACTAGTTCTCGCTAACACAGAAACACTGGAAAGACTACAAAAGCTTTTAAACTGAAATTGCAATATGTGGCTAAACTTAGTATCGCAAACCAATACAGAATAATAGTTAACAGTATTATATAATCAATACATGCTAATGCTTGCTCGCAACCTGCCTAGCTCACAGTCTACTTTGAAGATATCCCTAGTTACATTCCTCATATATTAGACTATTAGACATGCCAACTCCTCGCAATTATTTGGAAGAATTACTACTATTGTTTTATTTAAATCTTCGACTAACCAACATAGGGCATGAATGGCTTGTCATCTATGAGAGAAGGTGTGTGCATTATAACGGCATCGAGTGAATCCAAGTCATCTTGAAAGTTTCGAATCTTTGCTTGGAGGCACAACGTCAAGGCATCTGCAATACAGAAAGTATCCATTATCATGAGTAATCCGAGATATAAATTAAACTGTATACATGTAGCAAAAATTGAAAACGTGGACACAGTACAAAAAAATTAGAATCGGTATTTCACACCCCCTTCTAGAAATGACAAAAATGGACACTAAATATGGGATAGCTTGCATGATAGTAAATTAGCTATCGTCCATTCCGGAACTCTTTATATAAACTACATTTTTATTTAATTCTTGTTTGGTTAAATCTAAATTATCCTGCAAGAGCACTATCCAAGTTTGATGCACAGTAGACTATGAAAGCCATGTACATTCATTCTTATTTTCATCTCCTTTCGGCTCCCAAAGAACATAGTGCCTCTGCAACTATATATTCCTTTTGTTTCTGTAACAAGCTTTGGCCGGCAAAGCTGCTCGCTGTTACATGAATAAGGTTGTTAGCCTCATGTCAGCAGTATAACCCCGTTTCTAAAGTAGGTGTCAGCTGAAGTAAATCAGGATATATTTGGGTTGTATTCAATGCATAAGTCACGAAATACGGCATTGCATATATATCACCAGGAGTGTATAATATATTATAGAGATAATATATTATACACTCATGATATTACTGTAGCATCTTCATATATAACAATGACTTCATTATAAATCAAGAATCCTTACCATTTGAATATGGCTTGATTGAATTGTGCATCCGTCGAAATAACAATGGACCGATGTATATCAGAATAGCAAGGGTAACAAGTATGATTATTAGTAGCCGCCTTGTCCTGTGAGGGAAAAAATTAAGTGCTAATTATATTAGTTTAGTTTATATTATGATAAACGTTTTATGCAACCTAAAAATGATTCAAATAACATATTAAATAACTCAACATATTAAATTATTAGTGATAAATGATAATAAGCAAAGAATTTATTATAAAACATCAAATTAATAAACCGGACACCCCCCCCCCTCTAGATCTGCCCCTGTGTGTTGGCCAAAGCTTGACATATTAATTGAAGCAGAATAGTTAATGAAACTCTATGTGCCATGTGCACCATTGCCCTCCTTTGTAATTTATTATTTTATGTAATAATATAGTAATTTTTGCGTAATTAAATGTCTTTGAACTTGAACTTGAGACATTTTTTATTGCATTACCAATACCAAAAGTTTATCACAGACTTACGACAAACCATCCAGCGACCTCCGTGCCCGATTTGCTAAATTAACAACTTTTTCCATTTTCCTCCTTTCCCTATAAATATAATGGGAGTAAAAACATAGAGGTAATCAGCATATAGGCACCTGTAATACATTCAACATTGAATATATGTATGTAGGGACAATTAAATAGAGTGTTGAGCACTGTAACAGATGTCTAAGTATTCAGTAATGATGCTAGTGCATAGGTTAGTGCAGGAATAATGCCATTCATTAAAACACTATTAGCAAAATGTGTGTGCATGCGTGCGTAAGTGCATCTGTGACTGCTTGCCTGCCTGCGTGTCTGTCCGCCTGCCTGCCTACCCTCCCTCGCGCACGCCCGCCCGCCAACCCGACCGCCCGTCCGCTCGTATGTCTGTGCGGCTGAGAGGGTCTATGTCCCCCGGGGTACTGCCGGAACTATCTAATATGCCGGACCGTACTTCGCCTACTCCACTAACGAGTCTAGGGAGTCGCCTACGCCTACTCCCTAACCCTAACCTGAACCCTAATCCTAACCCTAACCATATCAAATAGTGACCAGGGTACGTTCCGGTATACCGGACCGTACCCAGGGTACGTTCCGGCAGTACACTGGGGGACATAGACCCTATGAGCGTCTGTGCGTGCGTGCGTGCGTGTGTACGTGCGTGGATGTGTGTGTAAATCTTAACATATGCAACAACATGTCAATGATCATCATCGCCGATCCTATCCTATCGGGTTCTCTATCCTTGAGCCGATGTGGCTGTGGCACGTAGGCCTATACAGCACTGACAATGACATGCAAATGCTAGCCAGACTAACTAAGTAACTTCAATACACACCAAACGGTTATTTCTAGGCATACTGATATTAGCACTGCACTACTAGTACTAGTACTAGTAGTAGTTGTTCTCTTATAGACACAAAGACGGACACTGACAGTGAAAGTGACAGTGTCAGTTTCACTGCCAGCCGTCACTGTCACTGTAACTGTAACTGTAAGTGTAAGTGCCACAGTGGCGGTACAGCTTCTACTCTAGGTTGTATATCGACGAGACGGTATCGCATCCGTTATAATGGATTTGTGAGTAGTCACCAGATGAGACAAGCTGCTAATGACATAACTATTCCGTTCTAGTAAAATAATTAATTTAGTGTAAACCTAACAACAGACAACAACATACCTTTTAGGGAAGTGTTTCTTGCACACTAAATATAGAGGGCGCTGGTGGGAAACCGGTGAATCTGGGAAACATTTCTGGAGTCAACAACAGAAAAATCCATAACAAATAACAAGTATCTAATTACTCATAGTCATATCAAGTAAAACTGAGAAAAGAAGAATGTCGGTATGTTTTAATTACGCTAGTCGGGAAATGTATGTACAGCTATTACTGGCAGTTAATAGTGGCTACAGTCTACAGCAGTGATTAAATTTCACGCAGAAAACCAGATGAGACGGGATACTAGAGAAGCGTTGCCGAAAGGAGGTGTTAATCCGAAGTGCTATCTTGCGCGCCAGTATCGCGGCAAGGCCGCACCGCGACCGGCGGGGAAACGGTCCTACGACAGTATTGCAGCGCTGGTCCAGCTCATGGACTCCGTGCGCGAATGCAGTAGATCGCCAGCGCCACGAATCCATAGCTGCCAGCGAACAGTCCGCAATTTTAGTGGGGACACAGGAGGGCAGACATTTGGAACGTGAACAGTTGTATCACCTTGTTCATAAAACACTGTCAACCGAGTGTAATTCTGTTCGTAACCGAGCTGTGTCACGCGACAATTCACAGAAAGGCCTGGGTCGGGAAATGTCTGAGCATGTGGCGGCGAGCCTTAGCGTCCCAGTAATGGAAGACGGCTGGTGCAGATCCAGGTAATCACCTACCCGGCGCTGCTTCGCGCTCAGCGCCTGCAACGTTTTTGCCAAGGTTCAATGGCGAGGCCTCATACGGGAATTGCTAAAGCGAGTGCGCGCCCTGCCGCCGCTATAGCCCATTAGACTGCACTCTCTCCACCTCTCGGCTTAGCTTAGTCACTCAGATGCCTAATCGAGGTGGAGCGAGTCCAGTCTAGTATACTAGCGTTTTGCATCCTCGCAACCTTCTCGAGAAGAGATAGGCCTATTACTAGAAGACATTAAGAATTTGGCTAGTAATAATTTCGTTATTTGAGTTAGCCATTATATTTGTTTTATTGAAACGCTTCAAGCTGCCTGTGTCTAGTATAGGGGTATTCGTAACCCTAGCAAGACCGTTTCGTTGGAGCTATAGTTATTGAGTAGTAGCGGGTAACCGTTATTTATAAACGAGTATAGTAGTACTAGCGTAGTAGCTCTAGTAGTACTAGTGGTTCAATGAGAACTATGGTCCCAATATTATATGGGCCGAATGTAGTGACATGGGCCAATAAAAGACCAATGACAATGTCACTTTTACATTCAATAGTAATATATAAGTATTTATATCAACTTATAATTAGTGTTAGGGTTATGGTTAGGGGTTCGTCAGTATTAGTACCCCCAGGTACTTATGTAACAGAGTATAGTCTCATTATTACTATTACTATTAGCTGCCTGCCGTCCTGGTAGTTACTGAGTAGAGTACTAGTAGTGCTGGTAACTCAGAAGTACTGACTACTGACTTGTACTAGTGAGGTAAGTACTTAGTTAGTATAGTTATTTGCTTCCCCCGTTTCTCCTTTGGTGCTCCCGTGAACATGGAGTGTCCTGGTACCTGTAAGATAATAGAAGTAAAGTATTCGTTAGGGGTGTGAATGTAATACCAGTCTTTACACGTGTTCTCTACTTCTATTTCGCTTATTAATCACCTTGTAATCCGGTCAAATGCTCATGCTGCAACACACAAGGAGACGAACGCACCGACGGCGGCTTGGCACAAGCATCATTGAAACTTTCCTAATAAAAGTATAATCGCTAAAGAAAACCGAACAATCTAATTGACTAAGTAGTAGTAGCTACAACAGTAGCTGTGCTTGGGCGGTGCACAAACAACTTCATGAATAAGCAGAATTACGACTATATAGACTGGGTGTAATAGAGTCGATCAGTTCGACAGGTTCCAGAGCGCTAACTACGTGAGCGTGTCCAGCGATATGCCCGATTGCCTAAGTGGGCAACGGGGTACCAGTCTAATATGCCTCCTAGATTCGGCGTTCGTTGCGCGCCGGGTCTAGCGCCAAGCATATGTCCATTACCCTCATCACACAACAACAAACCAAAGAGAAACCTATAGAATTCGTTTATTACGGGCAAGGAACAGCGCGCGCGGAATTAACGAAACTTCGGAATTGTGAGGCATTCTAATGAAATGTTGAGCCTCGCTGGGTTAGTCAAAAGCGATCGTCGAATGGGCAGAAACTCGCTCATTCCAGCGAAGTTTGATGCTTGCGTTATATATGTAAACCGTGCTAAGGTGAAGGACGGGGCAGCAACGTTCGTGTTGAGAGCGCCGCTAGCGGCGTTTTGGCGCGCTTCGCGCCGGATATCCGCTGCAGAATGTCTAGAACTTGTCTTCACCTGAGCACTTCAAACTCTGCGACGAGAGTTCACTCCTCAGGTCACTGAGTCAGGTGCACTGGCACCCTACAGGTCTAAGAAAGTAGAAGCACAGAAGATAAAACCATCAAGTGGAAATAAGAAAGCAAGGCGCGTAGCGCGCTGGCATGCTAGGGGTGTCTCGGTGCATGCGCCCTTGAAATTTTGTGAATGGTAGACGTCTGGAGATGCAATCTGGTGAGTTCTTGGCGATAGAGATTTAGGCAACAAAATTATTTAACTCCAAAATTGTAGGCGACAGTTACTGTGCTTTCCATTGTTCTATCTGCGGGGCGGCGTCACTTGTCAGTGTGGATCATTATTGTAATTATATATGAAATATAGAATGAATAGATTAGTAAATAAACACGAATGTATTTTACTAACCAAAGTCAATGGCTCTCTACTTTTGTTTTGGCCCTATTCATTACTGATACATTCCCTGTACAATGGCCATTCAGGGGGGGATCCACGGGTCTGAGCTAGACAGTAGGCTTATTTTTCCAGCAGCACATCCCGCAAAAAGCGCATTACACCCCAACAGTGGGCCGGGCCGTTAGGCACGGGAACTGCGGAAGCCATGTGTCACAAGCAATTTGCAAATTTTCAAGGGGTCCCTGGGCCCCAATAAATGAGCACATTTGGCAGCAGCATATTAGTCAAGCAGCATAGCGGCTCAAAAACCATAATGCAATTTTATTTCCGGCTTTCATTCTTGCCTGCGCTTTGCATACCAGCCATTAATGTCAGAAATGATTCAAGGCACTTCCTCTCTTTTTTCAAGATATCAAGCTAGTTTTGGGTAACGTACCATGTAAAAATTTGATCTCCTTGCAAGTCCTGTCAATTAATCAGAAAAACAAAGAAAACAATAAAGATAATATAAGCCAAATTCCATCAATGTTTTTCTGCGTATTTTTTTTTTTTAAGGCGGGCAAAATTTCGAAAGGGCACTTTTTAATATCTAACCGTATTTCCCAATACGGCCAAATATGCGGTCTGGAATTCCCGCCCCTGTCCATTCAAATGCTCTGCTGCAACCCAACACTACTAAAGCACTAACAGCGCAATACACAATGTACGAGCACGCATGCCTACTGGCCGCTGTGCACACTGACAAGTAAATTACTAGAGTGTTATAATTTATGATTGGGTTTGTGGCACAGTGGTGAGCTGAACATTGATTTTCGTCTCAGTACTATTCAGATTGTGTGGGTAACTCTGTACCATAGCAGCATGCGCTAGTAAGGCTCATAGGCGTCTATTGTCCCAAGGGTAACTATGCGGTGGGTACTCTGGGTAGTGTGTTCGATATATCGGAAGCAGTCCCCGTCGCGGGTAAATACGCATCTGATATTTTTAGGGAGTAGGCGTAGGACAGTCTCCCTAGACTCGTTAGTCGGAGTAGGCGAGGTACGTCCGGCATCATTAGGATACAGGGATGAGATTCTTCCGCGATCCGCGGAAATCCCGATTTGCAAAGGTCGCCAGGGGTCGATTTTGTGGAAACGGTCTATAATTCGTGGAGAAAATTGCGGGGGGGGCGCTGAAAAAAACAATGTTAATCAATTTAAATTATATAGCCCTCAACAGCACCCTGACTGTAGACTGTAGAGTGTAGACAGTAGGCTGACAACGAAGTATACAGTGTATCTGTTTTTGCGTGCCAGAAAAGAAAATCCTCGTTCACAGGCTGCAGTAGTAGGGGCAGACATTTTGAGGTAGCTGATCACGTAACGACCATGCCTGGCCTGGGGGCCGGGGGTTTACATGTCGTGCTGCGTGCATGTTGTGTGGCATGACTATGCACTGATTGTTCCATTTTGCATTGTGTTTTTCATTCAAATCTGGTCGCAGGGCAACGGCAGCTTATGTCTGAGTAAAAACAATGCAAGCGACGGGGTGGAACGAAAAATATATATCTTGATTTTAGATTATAAAAAACTTGCCCTATTTTCAGCCCTGATTTCCTATTATAGTTCGTTTGTTCCTTTTGACAACTTTGAAAGCGTGATGCATAGAGTCTCCCTATAATTTCGTTCAGAATAGCGTTAGAATTAGACCAAATTGGCACCATTCTTTTAAAAAGAAATTGTCCGGAGGGAGCATGCCCACAGGGCACCCAGTACCTCCCTAGCATGCCGATGACCTACGGTCCTTGCATTACTCGCTCCTCTGTTTGCTAATTAAAATTTTAGCTGAAAATTAAATTATCCAATCTCATCCCTGTAGATAGTACCATGGTACGTTCCGATATATCGAACCGTACCCAGAGTACCCTCCGATAGTACCCTGGGGGACATAGACCCTACGGGCGCTATAGTAAGCACAACCCGCAGTGCTGGGAAATATCTTGGGAAGTATGTACTGTATATATTTGCTGTAGGCTGTAGCCCATGATACAATAGAAAAATGTGCTAGACAGCAAGATATTGGTTATTGCTATTCATATTGGTATATTCACATTCACATTGGTGTCACGTTCAGTAATGTATCTGATGTTTATGTTTTCTACCACCAGGTGTCAGTAGTAGCACATGGCCATAATGTAATGAAATAAATATTGTCAACTTTATCTACAGTCATCTGCTTATCTATTCACCTTAATCATCACCAGAAGATGCTACAATTGGTATTCACATATATCAAGAGTAGATAATAAACATTGTTTTATTATCTACTCTTGCATATATACATATGAAAGGCTTTATTTGGCCACACTAATAATGTACTCCTAAATTGTTTTTCTATTTCATGTTCCTGAACATCAATGCTACAGTACCTACCAAAATAAACGCTGAAAGTGCACACGCATTCCGAGAAAGATGACGAGCCTACAGTACGACGTCCTGTGGGAGGATCGCGATGTCAGATTCGACATCGCGCCCGTCCAGATGAACATGCGCGCGGGAGAGGTTCTCATAGACCGACTCGACTCGGTCGAGGACACCAAGGGGAACAACGGCGACCGTGGCCGGCTGCTCATCACGAACCTGCGCATGATCTGGCACTCACAGGTAGTGATGTCCCGATGATCGATTATAATCGAAATTCAGTCGTTTGCAGCAACCGACTAAACGCTCTACAGAGACTCCCCGACTTACGAACAGGTTGGGTTCCGAGCGGTCGTTCGTAAGTCGATTTGTTCGTAAGCCGAACATATGTACGTACGTATCGTATACAGTATTGTACATTAGTGTAGTATATTTACGTGTGAACATCGAGTAACCTAGAAGTGTACATAGTGTAAACATATACGTGAACACAGGAGTTGGCGAAAGTCAAAATCGGGGGCGATTGTGTCTTTTTATTCACCAATATTGACATTATACACTAATGGACTTCAGAGCAAATTGTTCGTATCATTGAAAGTTCATAATGTTCATAAGCCGGGGGGTCTCTGTATTTTAAAAATAAATAATCGGTTGTCAAACAATTTTTTTAAAATTTAAAATAAAATTTTCAAAGATTAATGAAATGACTCTTTATTTTTTTTGTTTTTTGTTTTTTTTGTTACTTTACTACTAACCTACACCAAACATAAGCAAGTGTAATACTGTTACATAGCTTTTAGAATAGTGCATTACAAAAAATACTGTATTATACAGGGGTAGAAGTCCAACGGACTCCCTACCATCAAAAAGAGGTAGTCCGCAGTCTGAGGTTCAAAATTAAAGAAATTAACAATAACGCATGTGCTTATTTTTAAGATTCATGCAGTTGCACGTCTGCCAAATTTTCTTTGGCTGAAAAAATACACTAATTCCGCGAGGCCGTGCTCCGGAACGAACTAGTTTAGTATGGCAGAATTTTCAGCGAGTCACACGGACTCCTGCATATGTCAAATCAGGGAGTCCGACAGTAAATCAGGGAGTATTTGACTCCGGACTCCCGTTAATTTCGCACCCTGTTATATGATAGATGATATATTTAGATATCTGGTGGCCGCGATCAGTAACATTTAACCGATTATCTTCCATCATTGATCGGTTGGGTGAAACCGATGATCGATGATGAAATTCCAACCTGTTCCCATCACTACTAAGTACTTTATAGCATCTATGCAAGGAAATATGCATGCAATATCGTCAATCTGTCTGCACACCAGACCTTACACACTACAGGTCTGTTTCAGAACTTTGATGCTATGCAACCCATTTTAAAATTCATTCGCTTCTTCAACCAAAAGACACAGTTGTTGCTTTCATTAATGCACTGTCATCAGAAAACTTGTCCATGGGAACCTGATGAGAATGTATACATTATCATACACTATCTACGTGACATAGATAATACATGTCACCATGTTTTTAGCAAACTTTTTGAAATATACAAGCGTAATATAATAGTAATAAATATTCATCACTACTCGCAGGCGCTGCCGCGCGTCAACCTCTCCGTCGGCTACAACTGCATCATCAACATCGCGACGAAGACTGCGACATCGAAGCTGAGGGGCAACACGGAGGCACTCTACATCCTCACCAAGTGCAACGACACACGCTTCGAGTTCATCTTCACGAACCTCGTGCCCGGGACGCCGCGCCTCTTCACGTCTGTCATCTCCGTGCACCGCGCCTACGACACGTCGAAGATGTACCGCGACCTGCGGCTGCGCGGCGCCGTCGTCGTCGGCAACGAGCTGCGGATGCTGCCGCGCGAACACGTCGTCGAGCGCGTGAACGGCGTATGGAACCTGAGCAGCGACCAGGGCAACCTCGGCGCGTTCTTCGTCACCAACGTGCGCCTCGTCTGGTACGCGAGCATGAACGAGGCGTTCAACGTCAGCGTGCCCTACCTGCAGATGCGCTCGGTGCGCGCGCGCGACTCGAAATTCGGCGCCGCGCTCGTCCTCGAGACGTCCCTCCAGAGCGGCGGCTACGTGCTCGGGTTTAAAATCGACCCGGCCGAGCGGCTGCAGGCGTGCCTCAAGCAGATCCAGAGCCTCCACCGCGTGTACGCGGCGAGTCCGATCTTTGGTGTCGACTTCGAGACGGACGGGCGCGGCACGGCGGCGGAGATGCGCGAGCCAATCCTCGACGAGCCGCACGACGACGTCGAGGTCGTCGGGGGCGACGAGCGCGGCGACGCGTTCGCGGCGTACTTTGCGGACGGCGCGAAGCAGCGAGACGGCGAGCCGGTCTACTCGGAGGAGCTCGGCCTCGCCGTCGAGAAGCTGAAGGACGGCTTCACGCTGTCCGAGCTGTGGGAGGTCATCTGAAGGTCATCTGATGTGTAGCTGTGGGGGGTCATCTGATGTGGAGCTGTGTTGGGTCACCTGAAGGTCATATAATGCATGGCCATGGGAGGTTATCTGAAGGTCATATGATGTCATATGATGTGTAGCTGTGGAAGGTCATCTGAAGGTCATATTATGTGTCAGAGAGCTGTGGCTCTACCGTATAACGTTCATGTTAATGTTAGAGCTGTGGGAAGTCATCTGCGGCTACTCTACTGTATAACGGTTGTGTTGAAGCTATGAGCAGTAATATGTGGTGAGCTGATGGGGTCATTTGCCCTTGGGTCGTTGGTAGTGCGGCTGTGGGAAGTCATCTTAGTGTTGCGGTGGAGCGTTGGAGCGATGGATCTCAGTCTTAGTCATGGACGGCTTGGGGGGGGGGTTCTTGGATTATATTTAGACGGGGGTGCGAGACTGAAGCCTTGAAACCTTTACCCATATCTAAGGGTCCTTGTCCTGTGAATAGGTACTCATGTCTAAGGATTTTTTGTGAACGTCTGTCTAAGGATTTGGAACATCATATTTTCCTACAGTACCAAATATAATACAACCATTTTGCACTCTTTCGAGGGAAACTTTATAAGACGTCTATTTTTTGTGTGAAAATGGGACCCATGTCTAACATCTAAGGATTTTTTTCGTGAAAATAGGACCCATGTCTAAGGACTTTCTTGAAAAAGTCACCCATCCCAGCGGCACATCCTGTATATCCTTATACGTGAGTGCCCCCCCCCCCACGAGGGATGGCTGGTCCACGGGTCGTAGGTAGTTGTTGTGGGACGTCATCTCAGTGTCGTGGTGCAGAGTTGGAGTGTTGGATCTCAGTGTTGGTTGGGGACAGTTGGCCCCCCGAGTCGTAGGTTGTGGAGCCGTGGAACGTCATCTGTGTTGGAGCCGTGGCTCTACTGGTCGTGAATGATTGCACGTAGTTTAGCCGTGATTTTCGTGACCATTTTAGCAGCGAATCCTGATTAACCGGCCGCTTGCTGTGGCTTTGCAGCCGATGATGGTTACTGTGCGTCATGCTGTCATCTGTTTCATCTTCTCTAGTCTACATTTACGGCTTCACATGCTTATTCCACCATCTAACCTTTACGCACATAGCTTACGCTCATAGGGTCTACGTCCCCCAGGGTACTGCCGGAACGTACCCTGGGTACGGTTCGGTATACCGGAACGTACCCTGGTCACTATTTGATATGGTTAGGGTTAGGGTTCGGGTTAGGGTTAGGGAGTAGGCGTAGGCGACTCCCTAGACTCGTTAGTGGAGTAGGCGAGGTACGGTCCGGCATATAATATAGTACAAGGGTACGTTCCGGCAGTACCCCGGGGGACATAGACCCTCTCAGCATAGCTTACCAGTGTTTCCCCTGGCCAAAAAGGTCGGTGAGGTGGTAAATATTTTTTGGCGTGTTGGCGCGTTTCGAAGTCCTAGCAAAGCTAGCACCGCAGGTGTTTGCCCAGCTAGGGGGGGGGGCATGCCCCCAGTTTGTGAAAAATGGTGCAATTTGCTGCATTCTAAGCTATTCTGAACACATTGTATGAGATTTTTGTCAGCGAGGCAGTGTTTTTGACAAATTTCTGTGTGCTGGGTGAGAATTTGAGCGAGGCAGCCCGCCTCGCTCGTGTCAATGCAGGGGAAACACCGCTTACAATACTATCACAATCTGCTAGTTATTTCCAGCAGAGAAGCACTATCGTATCACGTCAATGGTTTCTTCAGAATTGGCAAATACACCAGGCAGATTACGTTGTAGTTTGCACATTGCATCATTGCTATTAAAGTTATCCATTAAATTGGAATTATGTATGCTCAAGTAGTATTTAGGCAAGGAGCTGATAGTTATATTTATATACTTGGACATTGAAGTCAGATTCTGAAGGCAACCCACTGCTATATATTTGGGCTGCTATACTCCGTCCACGTGAGACATTCCTATTTTACTAGTCCTTGTATTACTATTAAGTTGTACAGAATAATAAACATCACAAGCATACAGATAAATTGTTATTGATCTGTTAATTTATTATACTTCATATTTATGTGTTGTGTAAAATATCAGCAATGATTTTTCCTCTTGCAAAGGTCAAAACTGTAATGAACACAGTGTTTCTGTATGAATATACGTTATTGGTCATTTTATTTTCATAAATTACAATTTCATATTTTTCAAACAAAATACTACAAACTAAATTTAAAATGTTAATACCAGTTAATAATTACAAGAGAAATTTCTGAGCAAACAAGTTGACTCGTGCAGTAATTGAAATGCGTGAGAATTGTAATTGACCTAGAATATGCAATAATAATTGAGGACTGTTGTAGACTATCAGTTGTACACTATTTACAGTACACTAACACTCAACACTCTACCAAAAACACCATCCCCTTCTTCTCTGGGCAAACATTGCAGGATAATTTTTTAAATACAAATCATAATTTACAAACGATTGACCTGAGGAATTCCCTTTGCACTGAATAACACAAGTTCCATTTGTACCTACAGTGATTTAGAAAAACGAGCCGAAAAATCATTCACAGATGACTGAAGTACAAATTATCCTCGCTCAATAATTACTGAAGAAGACTAGTAATCAACAAGATACAAATGTCAGAGAAGGACAATGTTTTAAGTTTAGTGTCACAGTGCTGCCATCGCATTAATATTGAGCTAGTTTTTTTGTTGATAATAGTTCTTTTCTGTGCATATCTGTATAGCGCTGGAAGCTATGGGTGCAATGTAGATACTTGCCTCTATTCCAAAGAAAGAAAGCATGAGCTGATAATGGAATTACCAACTCAAAAATGAATCTATTGTTGAAATCCATGTTTCATGTGCATTATAAGCAAGATGGCCTTTAGTGCTGCGTCCACTTGATGGTTTTGATGTCAATGCCCTCCTGAACCATTTCCCAAAGAGGACTGCAAAAAGTGCAACGTCGTGAGATATCGATTTTCACAGAGCAAAGGGCAATAATTAAGCCAGACAGTATATCTGGGACTACCTATAATATAACTGTAGAGGGGCATTCGAGACTGACGAAACGGCAATTGAAACTAGAAGAAAACAACTACAGCATATTGGCATGTGACATATTTGTATGCAATTAATTGTATAATGCACATAATATATACCAGGGGCCCGTTGTCAGAAACAAAATTAGTCTTAACATTAGTCGTAACATTAACTTTTTCTCTTAGACCGTCGTCAGAAACGCTGCGAAGTTACCTGAATGAAAAATCGTAGCAGATTTCCTCGTAACAATACAAAACAAAGTGCTGTCGATGGTCTACGAGAAAATGTTAGAGTTAAGACTAATGTTAAAGGACAATTGAAGTCAAATTTTATAACTTCTGTAACGTTTTTATACATAGAAATACATTCAATAACGTATTCCATTTCAAATCCGGCACCCGCAGTTCAAATCCGCAGTAAGAAACACATGAATATTAGTCTAGGTCATGTGATGTCACAGCACCCTGTTGAAACACGCCATTATGTAAACATAGTGCGTGTGGTGTATAAGATGGAGACAGAAAGCGATAATTTCAATGATTCTAGTGATTACTCAGATGATGATGATATTTATAGTGATTTACCAGTTGGATATAGGTTTGAGCCTGAATATACACAAGAAGAAATTGAGGAGAATCGTCTGAAGAAGCAACGCGAAGAGTCGGCACACACTTCTCGAGAATCAGAACAGTCACAATTCATGGCGGAATGGAAGCTTCGGTACCAGATAGGACTGTAGACAAATACTGGTGTTCTTGTAGTGTTTGTGAATTAATGAGTACGGCACCTGAATGTATATGAGGGATAATTCAGTATTGGTCCCAGAGGCGTGACATGAACATGTATTTTTCAAATTGGTCATATTCACATATCTGCACATGTTTTCTAAAGCATAACCATTAACCTTTTAGGTCATTATAGTGTGAACATAGTGGTACAAGGAGTTTGCAGGGAAATAATGGTGTCGAAAATGCTTCTTACATTTTGTTGTGTTCATAACATGGTTTCCATTAAAGCTATATATTGGACAATCAATAGCTTATATACAATTACAGATTGCTTGATTGTTTTTATCAATTAGTTTGTATTAAGTTTACTCAAAATTGGCAGCTTCATCAACTTTTGGAATATTTTTTATGTGGTCCAAAATGGACACCGTTACGACCGCGACATATGAATCGAAAATGTTTTTTTTCTCCACATCTAAGACATCACTTGAAGCATACAAGTGTTTAATCATTCCAAGAATAATACTAAGTGTAATAAAAAAAGGCATGCTCTGAGGATGCATGACCTCTTCAGCTTGATAAAGTGTAATTTTGTAATTTGTCGTGTACGTAACTTGGACACCAAATTTCGAATCCGACGTAAAAAAATCCTTTCTTTTGCACTCCTTGCGCACAATGTGTCAATATAATGTCAAAATAGGTCTTATTGCAATAAATAACTCCATCATAGCAAAAGAATCTTTGTGGTTGTTTGATAAGAACCTGGAAAGAACAAGTTGACAATTACGATGATACAGACAAACAAATCTGCTGGGATGGATACGTTCATTTATTCAAAGAGGCACACACACACACACACACACACACACACACACCCACACATGTATGCACCGAAGACACGTTACGTTTGGGAAATGCATGTGTCCATTGTTATGAACAAGACTGGATATAATACGATAATATAGACTCGGTACAAGCTTGTTTTGAATTGAATTTGTGAATTACAGTGTATAATTTGATTATAACTATAAGGTCTCCGTAAGAAGGTATTTTTTGTCATTATGCAAGTAAATTTACATATTTTCATGATTTGTTCTGTTCGTAATTAACGGGACACCGAAATATTGTGTCCGTCGTGATGAACAACACATTATACAAATCGAGGAAAAAACTTCACAATTCAGACGTACCAACGAAAAGGGGCAACTATTTTCTACTAAATTAATCAAGAAATAAACGAAAAATTCTATAGTAGTTCGCTATTTGATCTCCCCGTGTGTCGTTCGTAAAATGGACTACCTGCTACGAACAGTGGTTTGAACAGACATCAGTAGAAAAAGTCGATCTAGTATTTATTCCAAACATCGACATGTCGTAATACCTTTGCAAACAGATTATACGATATATATCCTATTCCTATGTGCACCTCTTTGTGTTAAACGATCGTTTATTTTGCTAAATCAAGACCTTCAAGTTATACTGTACCTGACTGTACTTGCCCGTTTCGTTCATAACTGGCACCAAAACCACGTGGACGCGACGCAAACTAAACTGCTATGCACGCCTGTTGAACCGTGACCTAGATTATTCAGAAGCGATGGGAAGTTTCCACCCGACAGAGGCACCTACATCTTCTATTTTTCCACAAGGGGCTTCCCCAAGTCTATATATGTGACAGGGTCGCGTTCGTAACGAAGTGGACGACAAATTAAAAAAAACTTTTACGAGTTGGTTTCCAAAGTAGGCGGCCAAGTTTCGTCCCATTCATGTCACTGGCGTACTGATTTGATATCAACAATGATATAATACAGTCGTCATACAAGTATGGCAAACTATTTACAATATAAATGTTAGCTTGTTTATTCAGTCATAAATGGACACCACGTGTTACGAACACACCTACTGCATTGAACGTCGATTGATTTGCTTTGAGGCACCATCCAACGTGATTTACCAATTCGATTAGGAAATAAAATCAATATTCTCCATAAAACGCTGGCAGATAACCCATGTAGAGTGTTCTATCTTTTAAAATATCAACTTGATTTTATCCCGTTTCATGATGTCACAATACAGGCTGTCAAATCCGACCATTTACTGGAGAAAAATGCATTTTCTTAAAAACTGTTTGAATCACGCCAATTTGTTTTATCTTCTTTTATATCTTCCATAAATTACAGAAAAAATGTATACAGCCATTAGATTGATTTAGTTCAAATAAATTATTAATTACACAAAATCTTCAGGCACTCAGATTTTGACCAAGACTGAATTATCCCACAACTGCGTATCTGCATATCTGCGCCTAACAAAGGTGAGATACGTTCAGTAATGTATGCTGATGTTATGTTTCTACCACCAGGTGTCAGTAGTAGCACATGGCCATAATGTAATGCAATAAATATGTCAACTTTATCTACAGTCATCTGCTTATCTATTCACCTTAATCATCACCAAGAGAAGATCTACATTGGTATTCACATATATCAAGAGTAGATAATAAACCATTGTTTTATTATCTACTCATTTGCATATATACATATGAAAGGCTTATTTGGCCACACAATAAGTATGTCCTAAATTGTTTTCTATTATGTTCCTGAACATCGATGCTACAGTACGTACCAAAATAAACCTGAAATGCACACGCATTCCGAGAAAGATGACGAGCCTATTCAACGACGTCCTGTGGAGGATCGGATGTCAGATTCGACATCGCGCCCGTCCAGATGAAACATGCGCGCGGGAGAGGTTCTCATAGACCGACTCGACTCGGTCGAGGACACCAAGGGAACAACGGCGACCGTGGCCGCCTGCTCATCACGAACGGCTGCATGATCTGGCACTCACAGGTAGTGATGTCCCGATGATCGATTATAATCGAATCAATTCGTTTTGCAGCAACCGACTAAACGCTCTAACAGAGACTCTCCCCGACTTACGAACAGGTTGGGTTCCCCCGAGCGGTCGTTCGAAGTCGATTTGTTCGTAAGCGAACATATGTACGTACTATCGTATACAGTATTGTACAGTAGTGTAGTATATTTACGTGTGAACATCGAGTAACCTAGAAGTGTTACATAGTGTAAACTATACGTGAATCACAGGAGTGGGGAAAGTCAAAATCGGGGCGATTGTGTTTTTTATTCACCAATTATTGACATTATACACTAATGACTTCAGAGCAAATTGTTCGTATCATTGAAAGTTCATAATGTTCAAAGCGCGGGGTCTCTGTATTTAAAAATAAATAATCGCTTGTCAAACATTTTTTTAAATTTTAAAATAAAATTTCAAAGATTAATGAAATGACTCTTTATTTTTTTGTTTTTGTTTTTTTTGTTACTTTAGCTACTAACCTACACCAAACATAAGCAAGTGTAATACTGTTTACATAGCTTTTAGAATAGTGCATTTACAAAAAATACTGTATTATACAGGGTAGAAGTCCAACGGACTCCCTACCATCAAAACAGGTAGTCCGCAGTCTGAGGTTCAAAATTAAAGAAATTAACAATAACGCATGTGCTATTTTTAAGATTCATGGCAGTTGCACGTCTGCCAAATTCTTGTGGCTGAAAAAATACACTAATTCGCGAGGCCGTGCTCGTGAAGCGAACTAGTTTAGTATGGCAGAATTTTCAGCGAGTCACACGGACTCCTGGCATATGTCAAATCAGGGAGTCCGACAGTAATTCAGGGAGTATTTGACTCGGACCCCGTTAATTTCGCACCCTGTTATATGATAGATGTATTATTTAGATATCTGTGGCCGCGATCAGTAACATTTAACAGATTATCTTCCATCATTGATCGGTTGGGTGAAACGATGATCGATGATGAAATTCCAACCTGTTCCCATCACTACTAAGTACTTTTTAGCATCTATTGCAAGGAAATATGCATGCAATTCGTCAATCTGTCTGCACACCAGACTTACACACTACAGGTCTGTTTCAGAACTTTGATGCTATGCAACCCATTTAAATTCATTCGCTTCTTCAACCAAAAGACAAGTTGTTGCTTTCATTAATGTACTGTCATCAAGAAAACTTGTCCATGGGAACGTGATTGAGAATGTATACATATCATACACTATCTACGTACATAGAATAATACATTCACCATGTTTTAAGCAAACTTTTTGAAATATACACGCGTAATATAATCGTAATAAA